GCGTGTGTGTACATCTACGTGCGAGCATGATTGCACGAGTGTGTACATGTGTGTATGCGTGCATATAGTAGTGATAATATGATACTGTAGAGGGCCACGGGGCTTAAAAGGAGTTATACTGTATTTAGCAAAGACATATTGAATGAACCGGGGGTATAAATACATATAAGTCAGGTTATAAATATGAGCTAAGCTTTTGTATCTTTTTTGTAAGTTAAGTTAACTTATTCTACAGTTTGTTTCTACCTTCGTTTCCTAGGTTCAGGGGAAGCTAGCCAGACAGCTGAAAAACAGGATATTGAGCTGGGGTCTTGGCGTTTTCCCTACAAGGGATAGCGCACGGCGCTCGCTGGATGGTGGCAACTTTCCGTGATTATATGTCTTTGTATACATATCTACAGAACTACAGAGACGTATGCCAATAGGTATGATGTCCATGCAACGTCGGCAAGCGCACGCACTACACTGCGCGGCACTGCGCGACACTGCGCGTGGAAATGCAGCGTTTGCATGGCAGAAACCTATCAACACTGCAAGGAAGTAGTAACCGTAACCCTCTCAAGGACCCTGACCCCGACACTGCGCGACACTGCGCGGTCCATAGCATGCCCAAGGAAGGGCGACACTGCCCTCCTGTGCGCCTTCCATGCACGCACCTCCTGCGTTCTTGCGCAGACATGAACATTGCTTTTGATTGTCGGCCCCGCCACCCCCCTGCCCGCTGGAGGCTGAAAGTGACACCGAAGCTGCGATACCAAGCAGCTACTATTTGCGAGAGATGTTTCTCACTCAAACCCTTGCTTCATATTCTGATGATTTATGAAAGTGTTTATGTTCACTTTTCTTAACTTTTTGTAACAAATTCTAGTCACTGACAAGAGAATGCAAGTTCAGCTAAACTTTGCTAAGAGCTTATATGCCATACAAGCAGTTACAACGAAAAAATCAGCTCCCACCAACTTAGCTAAACTTATAGGTGCTTGTAACAAGGTTGCAATAATGTTGCAAGCCGGTTATGACTTCTGTACAACTTGCTTTTAAGCCCCGCAGCCCTCTACAGATATATGTGCGCATGTATGATTGTCTGTGTCTGTGTTTGTTCGTCCGTGGTGCCTGCATGCGTTTGCTGCCGGCATCTGCTTGTTCCATGGCGATTGGCTAGTATTTTTTGTGCGTGAAAGTGTCTAGTTCATATATGCTCACACACACACATATACACATGTATATATATATATATATATACACATGAGTATGACTGAATACGAATAAAAGAACGAAGGAATGAAGGAATTAATGCAGGAATGAATGAAGGAATGAACGAAGGAATGCATGACTGACTGACTGACTGGCTGGCTGGCTGGCTGGCTGCCTGATTGACTAAAGAAGTGAAGGAATGAATGAACGAATGACTGAATGAACGAATTGCATGTGCGTGCGTCCGTTCGTGCAGTGCTCGCGTGCGGGGCGTGCACGCTAGTGAGCAGGGCGGAAGCGCTCGCCTCACCTTTCGCTCCGCTCTGCGCTTCTTAGAACCAGCGTCTACATGGGGTTTAGCTAGTTCTGATGTGTATTTTTTCCGAGCTTGCCTGGTTAGCGTAGAACAGACAGCCTCCTATCCCAGCCGTACGGAGCCGCCATCTTTGCAGGCTGTCAAGGAAAGAGAGAGCCGTCGTAAGCTGCTGAAGCGCAGGGTCCCCGGATGCGGGAGATCTGTGCGAAGTCCAAGTGCTAGCAATCGCCGCAGTGAGGGCCCAGACCTCTCTGCTCCCAGGCTTCAGCGAGCCGACGGTGAGTACCACGGCGCCGGGATCGGCCGCCCCAACGTGCGGGCACCCGGAGGGTTCCAGGGGCCCGGCCCGAGTGGTAGAGATGGGAGAGACGTTGCGGCTTGGCCAGGTTGGAGCCGGCTTCACCTGCACGCAGCCGGACCCACAGCTACAGAGAGACCCGATGCCTTTTACACGATGCGACAGAACACGTCATGTCCTCGGAGGAAGATTCTAGCAAGAATCCAAAGCGAATGAAAATACCAAGGCTGCCGATGCGCTGCCGAGAATGTGCAGATAGCTCAGGCTCGCGCAGCGTGCATGTATCCTCCAACTTCTACAGGCAGGTCGTGTGTCATTGCTGTGCAACATGCAACATGGGATGATGATCTTCCGTTCACGGTTTGTATCGCAGCCGCGGGCAAGCAAAGGCCAGGAGCCTATGGCCGGGTAACCTTTCAAGTTTCACGCCGCGAGGACAATGATGGTGGCACCTCTCTGAAAAGGAAGAGGTCCCAGACCGTCGACATTGATGAAGAAGATGAGGAAGAAGAGCTGGTGCCTTGGGGCTTCAGGCATTGCCTCGAATCTGAGCCCGAAAGCCGTCAGCCATCGAGAGCCATCGAGAGCGTGCTCCAATTTGAACTGAGCAGCAGTTTTGATTCATCCCGAAGAGGAAGATTCTGTGTCTGCACTGAGGCCCCGGAAACTGCGCCGGGCTCCAAACCTCCGTGACGTGCGTGCCATCGAAACTGCGGTGGATGTGCTGGCACGGAGGCAGGGCGACAGAGCCTGTACTTTCGTGTTCGGGTAGAGTTGGACAAGCAGACCCACGAATGCTTCTGTAGGCTGGTCAGCCAGCGTACCCGTCGCGACATCGACGAAGGTGGGGAGATGGAGTTGCGGGTTGGCGAGGGTTCCGTGATTGAGGCCTGATGGCTTTGCACGAGCATTTTCTAAGTCCTGCGGTGCAAGAATCGTCGAAGCTCATGCTGGCTATTCTTGATGATGCACACGATCCTGCAATTACCATGAACAGGATGCCCAAGTGAGTTAAGCCCCAATTCGAAAGCTGCCGCCGAGAAAACGGAAGTGCAATGCACATCCTGCAGCAGTGCGCGTTCCACTGCCGCGCCCCTAGCTGGCGATGTTCTAAAGTCTTCGGACTTGACCGCATCCCGAACAGAGATACATCCTTTCGAAAGCAGCACAGTTTTCCCTTTGTCGTTGATTGCTTGTCTGCGATTTCAAGGTCGCCACTTCCGCAACAGAATTTCAGCTCCTGGCACCTCAGAGGCTTGAGTGGAAGTGTCTCAGAGCATCCCGTGTGTGACACCAGTGCCCCAACCGGCTCGGAGGGCTGCATCGAGCTCGATGCCGCTGTTGTGGTGGGAGCCCCGGTGGGCATCGCCAACCGCAAACGGCTTCCCTGACCTTGCAAGATTTGGGAACTTAGAAGGCTTCAGATTTTTTCTGATGTCGCGGCTTCTATCGTGTTCATGAGGAAGATTCGGAGAGGTTGGGCCTTGACTGCATGCGAGCTGCCTCTTCAAGTGCTGCACAATGTCGAGGCTCGAGCACTCGAAGAATACGAGAATTTGGAGGACCTCTGATGCCCTCTGCTGCAGCTCGGGCACAATGCCTGGTGCGCGGCCATGGACCAGGGTGAGGCCCTATCAGGCTCACCCAGTCCACCATACTCACCTTGCGAGCTGATGTCTGAGTACAGCCAGCGCCACATGCTCTGTCTAGATCGTTTCACCGGCGAGGCAGTTACTCATATGAACTTACGTAGCTGTTGAGAAAAAAGCCGAAGAAGGCGCTCAAAAACACTGTCAGCTTTGATCTGCTACATCATATGCGCACGCGGGGGGGCAGCTGTGTCTCCATAACAGGGACTGCAGAGGAGGTCGAAGGCAATGCTGGGCAGCAGACGTTCTGCTTTATTGTCTACTTTTTCGGAGTTCTACCGGGCATTCCATTCAGCACTTCGCCGCCAACAGAAGGCTCAGAGTTAGCCTCCATTACCTGACAGAAGGTGCTGCACTCGAGCCAGGTGCCAGAGGGCCTGGGGTTTTAGGGTGACAGACATGGTTTTCAAGGCCGAGAGGAAGTAGCCATGGCTCTACAGTGAGAGGAGACAAAGCTGCAATGCTCGTTGCTTTTCCGTGACTTTGTGGCAGGCAGAGGGAGGCTGTACGCCTCGCTGCCACTGCTCCAGAAGCGGCTCCCTTCACGGGTTTGAAAAAGAAAGGCTTTCCAGCCAGGCCTGGGCAACAAGACTTCGACTTTAGATTCCACGCTGCCTTCCTTTCCCAGCCCAAGTTCTCACGTCAAGACATGCGAAGCTGTTGCAGATTTTCGGCAGTTGGCCCCTGTGCGCAGGGATCTCATAGAAGAAACGCCCTCGCCCTCGGCGTGCGCGACCTCGCTTGCCACCTGCCCCTCATGGAAACGTGACGTTGTGTCTTTGTGACAGCAGTCTCGGCAACTTGCCCCGAAGCGACACGCAACGGTGCGACATGATTTTGTAGTCAGAATCCTCAGTCAGCCTGAATGACTCTATAACACAGCAGTATCCCAATAGCCACCTCCGCGCCGAGACCGCATCGAAAGCACTCTATGCGCAGCAGGGATTGAGTGCCACTGGGCCGCAAACCGCCTCAAAGCCAGAATCTGAGTTCCTTTAAGGGATGCTTGCGCCATTTGCTCGGAGCCCGAAAATGCTTCAGCGAAAAACCTAGAGACCTAGAGCCCAAGAAGTTTTCGTCGCATCCCGTGGGATGGTAGAAGCACGGCCTTCACCTTGCAGTCCCGCAGCATGTCCAGTAGTGCTTCGCCCTGATAGCCAGAACCCTGAAACCAACTCCACGAACTCTACTGTACCACGCTCGCTGCTAACTCCGGGGGCTCCGGGAAGCCGCTGGATTTGATGGCTTTCTGTTTCCGGTTTGGGTGCAGGGTGGCTGGAAGCTCTTGAGCGAATCACATGCGACATGCCTAGGTCGCATAACTTTGCCTGTGAGGGCCAGTGCCAGTGTTTATGCCTGAGAGGGTGTTCCAAATGCAAAACGGGCAGATGAAAACTCACAGTAAACAGACAATGAGTTGACTCTGTTCCTAAGTGTCCTAACTCTAACGCCCCTCAAGTCTTGACCCGTCGGAAACCCTGCATGACTCGACAACCCAAGATACTTTGGACTGTTCCTGCCAGGCCCTCGAGATTCATACACGATGACCCCTGCTTCACCAAGACAGTCGTCTTTGGATGCCTGCTTTCAGGACGGTTGTGTAAGGGGTGTCCATGTTCTGCAAGGGCGGTCAATGCTTACAGAGTGTCGGAGAGGGCATCTGGTCGTGGCTTGGTCTCATGCTGATGTACGAAGGCATGTCTTGAGAAACTTCTCAGGCGTGTGCAATATCCAGAAGTGCGATTGCAGCCCACGGGGCTGGCAAAGCAACGACACGCCGGACATGTTGCCATGGAAGCCAACCGAATCGAACATCCACAGGGTGCCGCCGATCTCGGCTTGCCGCTTTACGTCTCCGTGGCACTAGCCATGGCTTGCACCTCAGAGAAGTTGGCTTCTTGGTTTCAGCTGTATCCGTTCTTGCTTCCCGCGTGAGCTGCATCGAAAATTTTCTTGTAGATGCTAACAGCTACCCCCTCCAAGACGCTGGCATATGAGATCTGGATCGCCTTCCTTTGCACTTGAAACCCTCGATGCGAATGCGACACCCTTGAGGAATAACGACAAGAGCATGCACACCGATCAGGATGATGATACTGGTGCCTCCTCCTCCACCTTCTCCTCCTCAGCAACCGCGCGTATTGCTGCTACCACTACTGCTACGACTACCCTACTTACTACTCAGTAACTTTCATTACTACTACGACTGCGGCGACGACGCCGACTCCCACTTCTGTTCCTCTACCACTCACACCCACACTTCGACTTCTCCTCCTACTACTGTTTCGTCTGCTAGCGGTGAGACTAGCACTTCCACTGTTCCCACGAAGGCCATTCCCATCCCGGCTCCACCTGCGCCTGCGCATGATATTAATGCGACTACCCCTAGTGCTACTGCTGCTACTGCTGCTACTACATGTGGTTCCTGCTGTGCTGATGCCAACCAGGTTTTTGCCTCCGGGCTCTTGCGCATGGTCGGGGTCCCGGAGGCGACAGGCAGTCTCCGCTGACACAGAGCAGCAGTGTTGCTTGCCCTTTGTTGTGGTCTCACATTCCGCACTCATCGCTACAGCTCCTGGTGTCCTTGCGGTTCATACCGAGTTAATCTCAGCATGTTGCAGCACACTCGGTGCGCAGCATATGCATGCACGCGAGTTCCTGCCCACGCTTGTGCTTGAACTGTGGCATGGGTTCACCAAGTGCACGGTCCGCCGGTGTTCGTGTGTGGGCCCCCGTGGGCGTGCTGACACGGAGCACCGGCTTCGTCTCAGACCTAGACTTTAGGAACTGCCTTTGGTCGCTTTTGCTGATTGCTCGGCTCTGGCTTGTGCTGTTGAAAACTCTTGGCATCAGTTCCGCTGGGAGAACATCTTGTCTTGTTGCTGCTGCGCCAGGTCAGCTCTATCTCTCCAGGGAGTACGAAAGAGACGTGTTTTGCAGCCGAGGGTGCTTATGACTGGTGTAACATGCGCCAGGACCGCCAGTTGCTAACACTTGACGTGAACTTAGAGCGGCGGAGACAGTTACTCTAACAACAAGATTTTTTGGTAAACTTGACGTGGACTTAGAGCAGCGGAGACAGTTACTCTAGCAACAAGATATTATGGTAAATTTGATGTTTTGACAGCGAACCTGAACCCCGAAACTGCACTTGCATATCGGAATCCGCATAGGCTAATTGCAAAGGTCCTTCAACGGCGGCACTGGACAGTGACGGTGTAATGCAAGGCATTAAACTGTTAGTATCCCATAATGGATTTAGGAACCACATCGCCCACATGTCATATCGGTAGTAATGTTGATGCTGAAGATGATGCTGATGCAGTAGCAGTGAGTAGGATTAGGACTGGGACTATCAGTACGGGTAGGGATAGGGCGAGGGGTAGGGGTAGTGGCAGTGGTAGTGGTAGTGGTTGCGGTAGTGGTCGTGGTAGTGGTAGGTGGTCGTAGTCGTAGGGGTGGTGTGCTAGAAGTAGTATAGACAGCGTGTAGGAGGTAGTGGGTAGTCAGGTCAGGGTAGTCGGTAGGAAGTCGGAGGTAGGAGGGAGGAGGTAGAAGCGAGTAATTAGGAAGTCGGAGTAGCAGGTAGCAGATCCTAATCGTTTTCGTCGTCGCCGCCACCATGGTCGTTCCCGTAGTCGTATTGTCGTGCTGGTAACTGCTTGCAGCAGTCAGTAGTCGTCGACGTGGTGGTGGTAATAGCAGTCGTCGTCGAGTTGCAGCAGCAGGAGGAGGAGCAGTAGCAGTGACAGTAGAGGTGGATGAGACTAGTTGATCCAGGATCTGCGGGCGCTGATCAGTTTTGGTCTGGGCGCTATGCTATGTGGGTGGGCACGATGGAAGGACCGACCCTGTCAAGAGAGGGAGAGCAATGCAAAGAATTGAATAAACTCATTCAAGAAAGCGCTAAGGATGAATCAGAAAAGAAGCCCAGATCCAGTATCAGCAAACGCGAGAGAACAGAGTCAAGCGGCAAGCAGAAGAAAGAACCCAGAGAACATAATCACTGCATTGCACACGAAGAACGAACGAAATAAACACACAACAGGACAGCTATTGAACACCGAACAACACCTGCTTGAAGCAATAGCTTGACACAAGACAAGACCCTGCAAACTGGAATTCCGCAAGCACCGCCGAACCTTTCAACCACAGCACTGTTGCATTTTATTGATTTGGCTTGTGTTTTTCTACTGTCAGGAAGAAAGGCATAGGGCATCGGATCACGACGTGTGGGGTTTAAGTCGCTTTGAAGGCGAAGGCTTAGGGTTGTTTTGCCTGTCTGCTGGAAGGGCATGATATTATGTATATATGTATATGTTTGAATATTACAACATATTATACATTATACTATACTATATTGTATATTATATATGCAAACTGTTTGCAATGTCGAATTCGCTGTCTGAGTCTGAGATCTGAGAGCCTCACTTTCCGATTCCAGGAAATGTCCAACCGAGAAGCTTCCGGACAAGTAGACCCTTTAGAGCAGAGAGCTCAGGGAGCTCAGCTATTCATGGATCCCTTTTGGACTCAGCCGGCAGTGGGGACACACAAGTGAGAGTTGGGAGTTGGAGTTGCAAAGCCTGCGGTGAGGCGTGTCCAGCTCTTCTCCTACATGATGTGAGCCCCAGAGCTATAAATTTGATGTTTGAAAGCATTAATTTCTAGCACCAGCTGTATAGTCTGTCTCCTTCTGCGGATCAGCATGGAGCCCAGCAAGGGGCCGCAGCCAACAGGTCAAGGAAGATGCGTTCCTTTGCCACTTATGGCACTTTGCTGATCTTGGGGGGAGTTCTAACGAATTCTTGCATACGTTTAGTTCAGCTGAAAGAAGGGAAAAGAGCCTCCGTGACCCATCGAGCATCTCTGTGTTGCTTCATGTCGTGGCATCTTGATATCCTGTTCGCAGCAGTGAAACAAAGCTTTTGCCTGCAACATTTGTCCACAGCGGCAGGATCATCATCGATCTTCGAGCTTGCAGAGCTGCAGACAAACCTTTGTTGCGAAGACATCACAGATAAAGCTGTCGCGGCTCACTACTTTTAGTGACAACAAAAGCTACAAGAGGCAACAGTCACGACTTCCAACAAATCGCAGCCGTCAGAAAGCTGGACGAGCAGTCGGGAGGCATAGACTTTTGGGTATCCGAGCAGAAACCCTTGGCTGGACTCGCGAATGCAAGCCTTCTCTGCGGACAAGGCAGGTCCACTGGGAGAGTTCAGTCTCGAGTCTGCCCAACTCAGTAGCTCTTGACCAAACCGGGGGTCGGGGTTGCAGGCTTGCGATATCTGGCGATAGTTGAACGACTTCCTTCGATCCGACTTCTTTTCGACTCAGTGGGGTCTCATTGAATTTTGCTGAGGTTCAGGCAGGAGCCGTGGACGAGACAAAGATTGAGACTGGGGAGCCAGTCGGCCCGGAGATGCAGCGCTGGGGCCGGCTCCCGGAAGGCTCGGGAGCAATCCGCAATTGTTTCTGGCAAGACTGTATAGGAGTACTTGAATTGACCCACCCTTGCGCCAGAGCATGCCTTGCTGCTGCTTGATGCTTTAGCAAGCGTGAGGTACTCCTTGCTTCTTCTATTCTTCTCCCTCGCTTGGTGGTTTTGCAATGCTTCGGTATTTTTGACTATGCAGGTGCATGTGCGGCGTCTGCTGCTGCTGCTGCCGCTGCCACGGCGACTCTTACAGCGACTTCGATGGATGACGACTGCTACTGCCACTGCTACTCCTCCTATGCATGCTGCAGCTTCTACAGCAGCAGCAGCAACAACAATAACAACTACTACCTCTGCTCCTACCCCTACCCGTACCCCTAGTTCACCAACACCAACGCCAACACCAACACCAACACAGGAGAAACAACGACAGCCACAGCAACAACGACAAAAACAACAGCCACGAAAGCATCAGCTACACTTACTTCTCCTGCTCCTGCTGCCCTGCCATTGCTACTGCCACCACGCCCACAACCACGACGAGACTACTACCGCTACCATTACCACAATCGCAACCTCTGCCGCCAGCGCTACCGCTACCGCTGCCACTGCTACCTCTAGCGCTGCCACTACTGACGACGACGACTGCTGCTGCTGCTGCATAGCACCATTATCGGGTGGTAGGGTCTCGCAAGTGTTGAACATCCCGATCGAAAACCCGTTGAGGCCAATGCACCCTTGAAGTCATGAACTGAAGCTGACCTATGAGCATCCGAATTAAGCCTATAGACCACTTGAATTGCCATGGGGTTCAGGGCTGTAAAGATTTGTTGGTGTGGCTTGACGCTATGGTGCCGGCAAGGTTTGGGACTTTCCAAACATCTTGGCCTAGAAGACCCGAAGCTTCGCACTGCCAGGTGTTCTGAGAGCGCTGGCTTCCAAAAACGGCGCCCTGCTGGCGGTTTCCCATGGGAACCCTCAGGAGGGGGGGAACCTTAGCGCGGAATTCCTCAAGGTGACAAACCCGACACCAAGCCGCAGTGTCGTTGATTCGTTGATCTTCGTCCTTTCTGAGTCGAGGAGGGAGCGCAAGCAGCGCAGAAGCTGGCCGCCGCCAGCACGCGAGGCTCTGTGGCGTAAGTTGGAATGCGGTTACATAGTATGTAAAATGTACACGTAGACTTACACATCACACACACACACACAGATATATATATATATATATATATATACACATGTATTTGACTCTATATATAAATAGATACATATGTATGTATATGTATATGCACACACACACATATATATATATATATATATATGTAGATTGCCAAACGAACCAGTCGGTCCAACCCTCATTCTTCTCCCCAACACGGGTAGATAGCCCAGAAGGGTAGCATATAAATATGCTTATTTTAAATGTTATTATAATTAAAGAACATGTATGTATCCATACACTTATGTACACCTATCTATCTATCTAACTGTCGGTCGGTCGGTTTGTTTGTCTGTCTGTCTCCCTGTCTATGTATGTATATGTATGTACATATATATATATATATATATACACATTTGTATGTATCCTAGACACGCACATACATGCAAAATTTGGAGGTGGAGAGCAGCACCAAAACCCGTTCAACTGGAGGTTATGCCAGCGGCCCCGGTGGCATCAATGGTGCACACAGCGCCAGACCGCATGAAATGGGATTGGGCGGCCACGAGACTGCGGGCCCGGACGCTACCCGTGGTTATGACATCCAGGCAGGGGACTTGCCAGGCGTCTTGAGAAACCCGCACATGATGATGTATCACGGTACACGTAGTGGCATGCAGTGGATCTTGGTCATGTAGTCGTAGAAACATATCTTTCCAGCAGGATGCACAGAACTGCTGCAAGCTAGATTTGCGTCCTCAAGTGAAACTGCATGCCGACTTCTGTCGACCCGGCAGGAATATGGAAAGATTTGGCAGGCGCTGGCGCAGGAGACTGGAGTGAGCTTCGGAGGTGCATAGTTGTCTTTTTTTGATTGATGGGATTCGCCCCGTGGCCACATGCCTTGCTAAAGGGTGCTCAAGAAATGATGTCCATGGATTGGCTGGAATCTGAAGGAAATGTTGATCTCGGCAGGAGACGCAGTGGCCGAGTGTGCAGCGATTCTCTGTCATCGGACCATCCGGCTGGGATCTCTGCCCTCTGCGGTGCTCATGCTGTATGCACCTCCTCGCTGCTTGTTGACGAGGCGCCGAGTTCTTGGAGACAGTGAAGGGTGTGGTGTCTAGCACCACGGGCGGGGAGCCAGAGAAGGTGCCAAAAATGATGAGCACAAGTGGAGAAGTAAGTGGAGCAGCTAGGGTGTGCGATGGTTGAACTGATGAAGGGCTGCTGGATGTCGTGCGATGGTTCCTGGGATGCACAGCCAGTCTCTGCATGCCAGATCGAAGTGGTGGCGAAGACGCGCTTTCAATCTGTTCGCTCGGAGCTCAGGACCTGCCATTGATAGCGTCCTATCAGTAAGTAGGCAGCGGCAGACCGAGGTTTGGATGTGCGGTGTGCGTCGCCTGACGATTTCTGCTTGCTCCATAGCCGGCTGAAGAGCATACCGAAAGCCAGGTTCCTGTTATAAGGCTCGCTGGTTCTCGGCTGTCGGCGACCTGTCAGCTAATGACCAACGCTTCGCGAGCTTTGTGATGAGCGTTTACGAAATGTTCTCCGTCATGCAGAGCACTTTCGACTCGACACGAACCTTTCGGGCAAAGTGCCTGTCGGGCGAAGCACTCGCCCTCGCATTGTGGGGCATCTACCTTCTTCAACCAGCGCTGCCATCAGAAGGCAAGTTCGCGAAGCCTTCAGTTTTCAGATGAGACGTGCCTCTGCCTTTGTCAGAAGGCCTCTCTTGTTCACAACTTCGGCTTTTCTAGCTCTTCACGCGGCCGAAAAGAGAGCGCTTCCTTGTGGCCTGAACTCTGCCGGAGCTGATAATGTCAGTGGCCTTTGCATGCATTGCGTGCAAGATGATCTGCAAGAATGTAGGCAATTCTTGTTCATTTTTGAGTGGACTCAGGTGAAAGGAGAGTAAGACACAGCAGAGGCCCCCGCAGGATTTTTACATGTGTCAATAGCTGCTTAGCGGCATACCGAGCTTTCAACAGAACAGGACAAGGTGACAAGCAACTGCTTGCGGAATCCTAGAGACGAAAGCGAAGAGAGCACCTCGGCATTAGAGTGCTCTTCAACCCGGAGCTCTGACCACACCTCGGCTCCAGGGAAGTCCCGTAGGGAAGCACCTGGGCCGCCGAGACAGGAGCAAAGGCCAGCGGTGTGCAGAGCATCCAAGGGCAAACGTAATATACTCGGAGCACCTCTGAATGTTTGCGAGGAAGTTAGGCTAGAGCTTCAGCAACAGTCCAGAGCGTCCAAGTTTCCCAGTCATAAGCAACTGGTGTAGAAATTGCACTAAAGACTTCCGGCAACGAGGGCGGTAGCCAAACACATGACTCAACGCTGATAGATTTCGCTGTGTAGGATGCCTTGCCCGACATATCGGGAAGAGGTCATGTCTGTGGGCAAATATCATGGACTTCACATGGTTGGGCTTTGAACTAACTGTAACTAGACAGCGGGAGCAGTAGAACTTCTGACCACGAATCTTGTGTGTACCTGTTCACGTGCTGTGGGATCGTAGGGAGGAAGGAGGGTGCGAGCCTGCGAGGTATCCGAGATGTCGATGGCGGTGAAGGCCGGCACGGCCAAGTCCGGAGCTTAGATTATGCCAGGATGGGTCCCCAAACGGTGAAAAGTGCCACCACGACAAACCCACGACCACGACGACGTCCCCGTTAAGGCCAAACAGCGTTCCATGTAGTGCAAAGATGTGGAAAGGATCCGGCGCAAATAATTAAACGCTAGAACAAAACATGCACCGCGGCGCGGCGCAAGCCGTGCGCCGCTCGCCGCGCAAGCTCAAGCTAATTAAATTCTCTACACCAAACGCAAGATCCGCACAATGTTACCACGCAGTATGGGGAATGGTATAAAAGGTGCATTCAGAGAGGCAAAGAAGACATCGTGCCTGGATCTCAGGCCGGGCCTACAGAGGCTTGGACAGGTCCGTGCCCCGCCCCGGGCCCAGCTGAACCAGCTCACGCTTCAGTCATCAGCTCACATGCGCAGTTCTCTCTGCAAGTTTCCTCACTTGCATGGTCATGACTCCGCACAGGTCTGGACGCTTGGGGCCCAGCGTCCTTCCAGTCATAGGCAGATCATGAGATGCCTCTGAGCCTAGCGTCGGCCTCTGAGAGCCCAAGCCATGCAGCGTTCCAAAGCCGACAGCTTGCCCAGACTTTGTGCCCGAGAGCCACCTGAACCAACTGGCAAGGCCAGACTGAGACTAGGAAGGCTTTTTCTCAGTTGGGGATCTCGAGTTTCTGGTGACTGAGTCACTCAACATTGAATTCCCCTGAGCCCTCGATCTATGACTGGGGCTTATATGCACGCCACGGAGACTGCCGAGCCATTCGAGAAGATGGAATCCATGGTAAGCGACACTGCAAATCGTGTCTGTCGCCATGGGCAGGATGCTGGACAGCACCTCCGCCGTTAGTGGCTTCCGTGTAAGGCCTTTCGCGTGCAACGCGATGCATTGACACTTCCTGGCTCAGAGTCCTTGCATGTCCTTGCCAGGCGAATTGGCATCAACGATTCCGTCTGGCTTGTGACGTGCCCTGCCAACCCGGAGGGCTGGATGATCAAGAAGGCCACATCGAAATTCCCTCCCCAGCCCATTTCGCGCAGATCTTCGCAGCCTTGCTTACTCTTTTTCTGCAGGTCCCAGCGCGCCGGCGATACTCGGGCGTGCCGACGGACGTAGAAAACTGTGATGCGCCACACCGCTCAGTGCAGAGGATAAAGGAGGTTCTGTGCTTCGTTGCAGTCCAGTTGTTACAGTGACGATTGCAGTTGGGGATGAAGTCACCACAGCAGCTGAGTGGACCCAGAAACGCGAGTCGGAGTATCTTGAGGTTGATCCGCAAATTCCCGGGCATTGTTGACGATCAGAGGCCGATTTGCAATCTTCTTTCTACTGCCTCAGGGTATGTTCTAGCTTCAACTGCTGGTCAAAATCAGGAGAGCGTAGCTCTTTTGGAGCTTGCGAGAGTTGTCGTTTACAAACCTTCTTGGTCTCTAGGTTAAGGTGGGTCAACAAGGGCCCCGGGTCTTAACTGCTTTGAAAATCAAACAGTCAACGGGCTGCGGGGTGGTGGTGCGGATCCGCCCATCACTTGCAAGATTGATGCTAGCATGCAATCCCCTCTTCCCCCAGTAGGACCCCCCCTACCCCGCCCCTTCCGAAGCTCTTCTCCGGCAGTGTGATATCTGTCAAGAACTCTAAAGAGCACACCGAATCCGCGATCTAGAGCTTGCCATAATGCGAGAGTCTTCGTGTCTATGATCGGATGTGGTCGTTCAGATCGGAAAACTTCTTCACCGCATACATGCAAGTTAATGGTGAGTATCGCATTGCTCCCTCGAGAATTCACACAGATCTCAAATTGGATCTGAAGGGTCGGGTGTTGGGAGCGAAGGCTCGCAGCAGCTCTCAGCCTTTGCCGGCAGGTTGGCCTTTCCCCACAGCGTGGTGGCAATCCACTCGCTGTCTGCTCCGTGGAGCAGTCAGGCTGCCCAAGGGCAAATCTAGGAGCAAGTTCGAGACTTGCAGCATGCGAATTCATTGCGGCGGCAAAGCTAGATTCTTAGTTTGGTCATGTTGCTTTGCTCAGTGTCTCGTGTCCAAGCCCCCCAGCACAACATATCAGTGTGGAGCAAGAATCAAGCCAACTAGCCGTTAGCCAGCGTCATCCCGCTCATTCCCTGGATGGCCAGGCCGGCGATCATGCCACGGACTGAGCTGACATACGAAGTTACAGATCAGTGCAGGAAATCATGTCGTGTTGTTTATGAAACCCCCTCAATGCTAAAACCATTCAGACTGCAAAGCGTGCGCTTCGCAGAGCAGAGCCAGGTTGCAGACCTTCTGGTGTCTCGACGAGCTCCCGGCGACCAGCTAGGCCGGGGCCCTGAGCACGAGCGAAGTCGAGTTGGTGGTGATGGTTATGCATTGGACTCGATGGCGAAGTGCAGTCCCTTGCGTTCAAGGTGTGTACCTGGCAGAGCTGGACTTAACGAAGTCCCAGGACCAAACCACCCTCGAGGAAGTCTGTGCAGGCCCCCAGCTAGGGAAGGGTGGTGGTCCAAATTTGGTTGCTTTCCCCACAGACGGCTCAGTAAGCTCTCCAATCCGGCACGTTTGGAGTGAGGAGGGACGTGCGGCCATGGTCGGCAGCTGCCTGATTGGAAATTTTGCAGAGAGCCTCATGAAAAGGGTGAGAATACCCTGCTTCCACCTTGAGCCTTAGGGCCTCAGGGAATCCTTGGCATCTTGTGAACCTTGTGAGTGCGATCACACCTTTCTCAGAAGCCCACGTCTGACGAGTGTCGGGGCTTCCTTGCAGTGGGAACTACTTCGCAGGAGTCGGCGAGATGCTGGCAGACTTCCACGCCCGCTACGCTGACCCGGTCACTGGCGAGGCTCTCCATGGGGCAGCGAGGCTTGTTAAGATGTAAGTGGCGTATGTACGGATTCATGTAATGTATGTGCGAATGTTTTCATTTGTAGGTGCATGTATTTATGATTCTGCATACATGCTGGCAGGTAGATTGATAGGTACTCAGGGCTAGTTCTTTTCCGGAGATAATAACGATTTCAGTCGTTTCCTGTGTGATCTGGATCTGCTGTAGCTGAGCACAGCTGCTATTTCGAGCCTGAGACCCTAGATCTTAAGACACCAGGCCACGTACCACACGGACTTCCACCCGAGCAACGTCCTCTACGAGAAGCCGAGGCCTCAGCCCTGGAGGTCCACGCCCCGGATCCAAGACGGGAGACTATGGGCATGGATGTTCCTCTACTCAGCCTTTACGACATAATCATCATCAGTATCCATATACTACACCGTGTGAAGGCTTGATCTGCATATCGGACGGGTTGAATTGCCTTCTGTCTGACTGACCATCGCTTTGCGTATGTGCTTGTACGCTTGCCTTTATCCGGGTTGAATATGACCTGCAGCAACAGACTTCAGAAGGCTTCTCAGGCTACAGGTCAGGTTATCATGCTGTCTGTCTAAGGAATACTGGTACCCTCAGTGCTGCCCTCAGCGTGCGACGTTGGGGCTGCGTGAGCATCTGTGAGCATTAAGCTGCAATCTGGCATGCCCACAGTGTCGATAAAGGCCGAGAGTCCAGCTGAGGTATCGTAGACTTGACGGGTATGGGGAACCCCGGCAGCGGCGATGACGTCCAGAAGTTCGAGAGGCTTGCCGAATTGAAGTCGGCCTTCCAGCCCCTCCCCAACCTCCGCACAGCTCTTCCTTTTGGTCCTTTGCCAAAGCCTCAGTCCCCACATCCGGAGGCTTATTTTCGGAATGGCCGGCGAGCGCTATGCCTTGGCATTCCGACACCGGTCCCGCCAGTTGAAAAGGGTTGAGGAAGAGTTATGGTAAATGCTGCTGCGTTCTGAGAACTGCAAATGCTGTTGTGTTACAGTGTTGGAGCAAGATACAGCAACCGCCCTCCGTGGCATCAGATCCCTTAACAAGCCTGAGATGTGGTTCGTGACGGGAAGGACTGATCGGGGAAAGTCATGACTTTGATATGTCCATTTGGTCAGAATGCGATTTTGCTCTTCGCATTAGTGGTTCATGCAGCCGAGCCGAGCCTCTTAACCTGCATTTCCTCCAGGTATCTTGCTATGGCCAAGACCAACGTCTGCAAGACAGATAGAAGTAGCAGCAAGTCGACTGTGGCGCGGTGCTCAGCTGTGCACGCACGGGTCCTAATACCGTTGAGTTCTTTTCGGACGCTGGGGTTCAAGTTTTGCAGCCGCCTGAGGAGGCAGTCACCATGTCTCGCGCAGCCGTCGATGTTCCAATCAGGTTGTTATGGAGCAGACGAACTTTCAGAATGCTCATGTCTCGCAAATTTTTCTCCTCTGAGGCGAGCAGCACAGACGCGCTGTGGGCTGTGCCTGGACCTTGAAACGTGGTCCAGTCCTGCCGTGTCTTATGGAGCAAGCCAAGACCTTTTGCGCTGTTGGCCCAGGTGATAGTCTTGTATCCTAGCATGAATCGCACACCTTCCTCCAGATTTCATGTTCTCTTTGTTTGTTTTTCGCTGCATGTCGCACCAACATTACGCTTTATCATATCCTGCACATACAGCACCGGAGGCCTTCCTTTCATTTGCCCGCCCCACCAACACGGACGGGAAGTTTCAAGTCGCTTTCCTCGCTGGCTCGGAGCTCGGCGTGTCAGTACAGGGAGTTCAAGGGATCGGGTCATCAGAAGCTTTGGTTCTCTGAGACTTGCGACGCGTTCCCCTGTGGCACCTATGTACCGTGTCATAGGTCGGGATCGATACTCAAGCATCCCAGCGGGGTCACGGCTTAATTCGGTGATACTCGGAGTGTAAGAGCAAGCGGATCCGCCTGCGACATGCATCAGTCTCATGGCATTTGCAGCTCCCCCGCTGCGCCCCTCAAGCTGTGGGAACTCCGAAATCCTTGAGCCCTGCTGTGAGTGACTGAGGCGGTTCCCGAGCCAGGGCCTCAGAGACATCTGGCACGAGAAAAGTCTAACGGCAAAGTTGTTTAAAATTCTATCATGGTAGTTTCCGCTGCATGGGTTCAAGTTTGGTAACGATGACTGTTCAGTTGCTCTTATGGGGATCACGTAGCCGTATCAGCCTTGCTCGCTATGTAGGGTGAGCGGCCTATGGCTTCGCCGACGCAGGTCCGGCTTCAATCCGGACAAACATCTCACAACCCTCGCAGCAGGCTCAGGGCGCCTGCTGAAGCAACATGTGACCCTGAACTCCGATAGCAAGGTAGGAGAAGGCGCCCTCGCAATCAAGAGCGCATGATAAAGAACAAGAGTTTGCAGTGCAAGCCATAGAAAGCTCATTCGAATGTGAAGTCCCAACTCACCACTCATGAGTCAGAATCCAGGGCAAGTGAGGACCCGTCACAACAACGACAATATCTTTCACGAGCTTGAATACTCAGCAGAGTACTTCGTGGCCAAGTGGCTTGATTGCTTACCTGCTCATGTGATTGCCAACGATGAATCGAGCCGCAGTGGTAACGCTAGTTTATCAGTTCAGCGTGCTTAGCGTGATGATAATAGCACACTGTCGGAGCAGTTAATGTCGGGTAAGTATCCACAATGACAGTCACATACGAGCAAGAAAATCAGGACGAACAGGTTGAAACTAAATCATGCTGCTACGTATTGGCATAAACGACGGCAGTGCCAGCCACTGCTGGACTTAGCTCTGAAATTCACTTGAATTGTGGGAGTGCCCGTAACATCTGAGAGTCACCGTCCAGCAGTAATGGTGATTGTGGTGGCGTGGGTCGTCGTCGTCGCCGATACATCTTGCGCATGGAGCTGCTTTGCCAAGGCCTTCATGCTGTCCCCCGCGCGCGTGTGCGAGCCGCAGCTGATCCCCCTCTCCTCGAGAGCCAAGGCACGCAAAGAGCATGTATGAAGCCAAAGCTTCGCGTTCTCCAAGTCGAAGCATCGACCTTTGCTGGTGAGACCAGCCGTGAGAAGCCGTGCACTGTTGCGTCCTGAGTTCAGGCTTGGGTTCTGCGCCAGGGCAGCGCGAATGAGTGCTGGGTCATTCAGCAGGCGGAATGGGAGAAAGTTCTTGTTACAGCGCGACAGTGTCTAGCTATCGTCCGATCCAGAGAGACTTCGAAGGCATCAAACTGACTCGGAGGCAAGCCCAGTCTTCGCGGAACGTTGTGAGGAGTTCGTCCGGCAGCGTGGCCCTCGAGGGATTGACTGAGCGAAGTGGCACAGCAGGTATGGTTCCAGTTCACAGAGAGAGGCTGTTTGGTTTTTCCTTCCAAGCCAATCGTCAGAAAACAACCCCTCGAGCTGCTCCCGGATCCGAAGTCTTCCCGTGCACATGCATTTTTTTGTGCTCTCGGCTGCCTGTTTAGCAGTGTTGGGTTGCTAGTATTGTAGGCCCTTTCATCCGAGACGTCTACGAAGAAAGAGGCAGACATCAAGCGAAAGTCCTCAAGCAAATTTCTCGGTGCTTGCGTGAATGCTAATCGCCTACTCTGAAGGAGTCTTTCTGTGCTCTTTTCAAAGTTTGGTGTGATGGAGTCGATGCAAGCTAAAAGGCTGACATGCTGAAGGCGCACTTCCAATTCCGAACATGCTTGAATCCCAGGTGTCCTTCAGTCTTGGAAGATGCCCAGCTGGCCTTCCCGCACTCTGCGATTCCGTTGCAGGCGGGGCCAGGAGAGTACGCATTCTGCGCATTTTACACCCCTGAGAGAGACGTAGTGTCGGATGGTGTTGCTGGGAATTTTCGTCGAGCGAGCAGTGTAGGTAGTCCCAGGGGTTGTGAGAGAGTTGACAAATGAGGCGAACCAGAAGCAGGTGGGGAGCCTGTCCTGCACCTAGACGTCGATTGTTGTTTATGCCCGGCCTCCCTCCCGGTACAAGACCTTCGCACCAAGGCTAGTGGCGGAGTGTTCGTTCCGCACAACTCTGGAGCAGTGCGCTTCGGATAACATCTTTGGATTCAGTCTTGTGTTGTCCACGCTTACTTCCAATCACCAGGTACGTCGCCACTTTGGATCAGACTACTAACGAGGACCAGGAGAGCACCTGGAAGTCAAGACATGCAGTTTGTGTCTGCTCACCCGACCATGCTGACAGAAGAGTGGCACGGGCGAGAGACAGGGACAGGTAGGGTCGGATACAGATGGATACAGGAAACTGCAGGCAGAGCTTTCGCAACACTGGAAGGCGAAGCTTCGAAAGGTTCTCAGCAAGGCACAGAGAGCCTGCAAAGAAGCCTTCCTCGAGCACGCGCTGATAGTCCTCTGTCTAGCTCCAGGGTATGGGTTTCCCGTGACAGGGATCGCCAGTAACGAGGCGCGAGTGGAAGAAGAATAAGTTCATTTGGAGCATGCGTGATCACGCAGCTTTTTGGCTGGAGACTTTCGATATCTTGCGGAGCTCGTTGGCGAAGGCGGCTGGGCTTGACAGAGCCACTGGCCAGCCGCTAGCCTCCTCTCGCTTCCAGGTGTAGCTCAATCAGACGATGGCGCTCAAATTTGAGGCCTGGAACATGCGGGTTTCATGTGCTGGAGCCAGAGTCGTCGTAAACGCACCGCCAACACGCGGACTCGGCGGAGGCGACCTTCATCAGCATGAAGACAACCGAGCCGGCAAAGAAGCGCTCCCAGAGTTTACCAGCGCCTCCAGGCCGTCGTTCCGTCCGTAGGGCCGTGGGGCCGTGGGGCCATGTGCCAGCGATTGTCAGCGTATGAGCGCTTGGCAGGACGTTCCGGAGCCTCCTCCACCACAGACAAGGAGACGTTCCGGAGATGGGCCTGTCGTTTTGGGCGCGCTGACATCTCGGGTCGCTTTGTGTGTTCTGAACTTGCAGGCCGTGCATGCTTTCATAGCACATGCATGGCCTTTCTTGAGTCAGGACAGTGTGGGGCAGGTTCAACGCTACCTGGACCAGTTGATGGACCGGGCGGAGAACCTGCGCCCCGAGGATCAAGACGGGCAGGATGAGGCAGGGCGTCGAGGGCTGTGCCGCCCACGCCTATACGTCTATGCAATCTTGCATGCAATCGGTCGAAGTCCTGGAACTGTTGACAGCAGTTTGCTATAAGCATAATTGACATCGCACTCACAAGTACAGGTATTGGACGGATGTTTAGTTGGCTTCGATCTGTATCTGCGGACAGCCTCGGCCGTGAACTGTTCAACCCCCCAGTGTCAATGTTCGACACCCACACAAACGGCCTTGCGTGCCGAAGGAGGAAATGGCTCCGGAGCGCAATGTGGAAGAGGCATGGGATCAAGATGAGAGATGTGTAGTTCAATTATCAGATCTGGATCGAGACATCTGAAGCCAGTAAGGCAATATACAGGGATGAGGAACGGAAGGAAGGAAGGATGTGGAGGAAGGAAAGGAAGACGGAACGAGCGAGAGAGGGACAGAGAATTCATGCTGCTGCGACTGCGACCGCTGCTACTGCTGCTGCTACTGCTGCCGCTGCTACTGCTGCTGCTGCTGCTGCCGCTGCTACTGCTGCTGCTGCTGCCGCTGCTACTTCCACTACCACTGCCACTACCACTACCACTGCCACTTCGACCACTACGACTGCTACGACTACTACGACGACTATTACAGCCCTACTCCTACTACTCCCACTACTACTGCTACTACTACTACTACAACTCCTGGTAGTAGTACCACTACTACTGCTATTGCTGTTACTGCTGTTACTGCTTCGAATACTCTGACTACTGAAACTACTGCTACTACTGTTACTACTCCTGATACTACTGCTGCTGCTGCTACTACTACTACTACTACGACTACTACTGGTACTAGTACTAGTACTCGTACTTATACTGCTACTACTACTACTACTACTACTACTACTACTTCTACTACTACTACTACTACGACGATTCAACTAACTACTACTACTACTGCTACTACTACTACTGCTACTATTGCTAGTAGTAGTAGTAGTAGTACTACTACTACTACAACTACTACTGCTACTACTACTACTACTACTACTACCACTACTACTGCTGCTGCAACTGCTCTGCTACTGCTATCACTGCTGCTGCTACTACTACTACCACCACTACTACTACTACTACTACTACTGCTACTACTACTACTACTACTACTACTACTACTACTTCTACTACCACTACTACCACTACTGCTCCTACTACTCCTACTACTCCTACTACTCCGACTACTCCTACTACTCCTCCTCCTACTACTACTACGACGACGACTACTACTACTTCTCCTCCTACTACTACTTCTACCACTCCTACTACTCCTACTACTCCTACTGCTCCTACTACTCCTACTACTCTTACTACTCCTACTACTCCTACTACTCCTACTACTCCTACTACGCCTACGACTCCTACTACTCCTACTACTCCTACGCCTACAGCTGCTGCTACTGCTACTGTTGCTGCTGCTGCCACTGCCACTGCCGCTGCCGCTTTTGCTGTCAAGCCAGCAGGCCAAACCAAGCCGAACGCCTGATCCAAGGAAACCCAAACTCAAATCCAGCCTTGCTGGCTGCTGATTTTCTTGATCCAGATTTGTTTTTTTTCGATCCGTGGTTCTGGTTTTGATCGAAATTTGATTTTTGATCCCTAACCTCAAGATGACTTGGTATCAGTTTGGTCACTCTCGCGCATCCGCCTGTTCAGGTTCAAGAGGAGGAGGAGAAAGCCACCAGCCAGGCGTTCCTGCAGGGTATCTGATACGGAAGTACATAGTTGTGATGGGGCTAGCTGGAGACAGTAAACATCAGGCACATGGAGGCAATGTTCAGTGCAAAGTTGTTCCGAAACAAGAATCAGCCTCCTCAGTTGTCAGAGAAGGAGGTGCCGTGGTATCAGGATTTTTCGCCCGAACAATATCGAACGCCACAGCTTCGAGAAAGGGTTCTGTGTGAGGGTAGCTTCATCCTAAAATCGGCGAAGTGCACGCCACTGTTCATGCTCTGTACGTTTGATCCTGCATGGCAGCTCAGAGTGTATGTTTGTAGGTCCGCATGTCCCCAAAATCTGGCTGTCTGTGTCTGTCTATATTTGTCTATGTCTTTCTCTGTCTCTCTCTGTCTCCCTGTCTATCTGTCTGTATCTGTCTTTGAAGTCTAACTGTTTTGCTAACACACCTCTTCCTCCGTCTTGCTGTGGTGGTTGCCTGTTGGGTATCATCCCTCGTGTTCAGTGGCAAGAGCATCCCGTGATGCCTCACAACCACGGCCCTAGACTCGTCAACCCCGAACCCGAACCCTGAGCGTGGGGACTTGAAGTCATCCAAAGCATGATGGTGCGGATCGCTGCAGGGGAGTTTTGGGCATCCCGAAATGTGTCGACGGCCCTGCATTTACCTTCAAAAGGGCAGCTTGGGCTTCGAAGCGCTTTTGGGGCTTCCGAGAATTTGGGATTCGGGATCTGAGGTTCTAGGGCCACGTTCTGTTAGGGATTGAGCTTTCCGATTCCGGGATTCAGTGCTTTACAGGGGTTGGGCCTCGAGTCAAGAAACTGGCTGAGAGTCGGGCAGCCATGGGCAAAACCGCCCAACCGCGTCAACGAACCTCTCGGAGACTTCGCCGTTGTTCACATGTTCTTACCTGCCTTCGGCACATTCGGGCTGGTTTCTTGCCGGACATCAAGTTTGGATGAAATTTTGGCAGCGATCAGTCATGATCCGTTCGGGATTGCCGATGCTTGGCAATCAAGGCTTCAAGATTCGCGGCAAGGCTAAGACGCTCAAGGTACGTCTCAGTGCAGAGGGCTTTTCCGAGTTTGCCAGACCGCACTCCCAGGCGACTGCGCAGAGGGAGCCAACTGTGGCTACTGCCACGACGCGCACCACGAGCGCTCCAAGAAGCTGGACAAGAGGCCGACGGAAGGGTATCTCAAGCACGGCCCAATAGGTCTGGGGTTTTGATGATCATGGGCCTGATCGAGTGACTGGTATGGGGAGATCGTGAGAGAGTCATATCTAGACTATCATGTGTATCTATCTTTCTATCTGTTTATGTACCTATCTACCTGTCTATCTGTACATCTATATAATGTATGGCTATATACTGTAGCGTACTAATACATGTATATATATATATATATGTACTTATACATATATATATATATATATACATATATGCATGCTGACCCCCCCCATGAACTACCGCGAGTTGCCACGATACCGCCGCCAATCCTCCTACGTTTGGGCTTCTGGTGTATGATCCAGTTTTGAAGTTCCAAGGGAAGAGCATATGTATGACGGCAGCCGGCTCATTTTCAATTCTTTGCGACGCTTCACGCAGATACTCCGAAAGATGATAGACGATGAAAGTTTCTGTCTGAATACCGAAGATAAATATCGGTCCGAGTAGCAACCCCGAAACAGCCTCACTGTAGTCTCAGATCAACGCCCCAGCAATACGTATGAGTGACCGGGAGCCTTGGTTGACTCCTGTTCCTAAACAAAAGTATCCCTATCATTACCCCTGCCATTAGACCTTACATTGACCCCCATGATGACAGGAGTGTCCTGTTTGTTTGATCCAAAAGAGATGCCTTATAGATCAACGTCTTAGTTCGTATGGATCAAAATGCTATGTCGACTAATAACCCCATTCTGCATCCCCATATTCCTACCCATATCGATCTGAAGGTTAAGACAATAACATAATTACGCCAGCCTGGTTGGCCTCCCGATAGTAAGGTCCGCTTGACAACCCCAGTGTTTGATCTGACTCAAAACGCGCCTTACTCGCAAACTTAAGACCGATCTTCAAATCACCCATACGCTGTTCCCATTGGTAGCCTTCGTAGTGTACCGGATACTTCCCTGAACAGAAACCCAGACCAGTGGCCTCACCAACAGGTTAATTAATCCGGATGTAGCTGTGTTGCCCCGTAGCATGAGCATTAAAGAGCCCGAAGTCCCGAAGTTTAAAATTATGGCATCCCCAATAAGAGTTCCTGTTATATTCATACAAGTAAGCCAAAATAACCGCCCAAACAGTTACTTCAACAGTAGACGTCATACTCATGCTAATTTTAAGCTACACAAAACGAACTCCATTAACAACCACGATCCTTGCTGTGTTCGCTCTGGCGTTGCCCAAATGATGGCCTTTGGTTTTTGGGTATTCTAAAATCATTTGTTTGTTTACATCAACATTTACCTTGTATATGGCATACCCTTCTCACTGTGCTATATGATAGATCATGTCGGACTTCCTTTCCCTGTGCCTGTATGTGCATTTATGTGTGTGTGTATGCGCAGCATAATGACGGGGATCTTTAACCCTATCCTTGTCATTCGCAGTTATGTCAAATCTGGCCGTAATATTCGCCTTCACAGCAGCCCGAAGGTCATCTATAGCAGTCTTTGTACCACCCATAGTCGGACCCCATTGTTTCTCTCTTGATTTTGCAACCATAATCAAATGGAGCAAATCGTAGTGGTAGCTGTGAAAACCTCGAATCCTGGGTCCTGGTCTGTGTTAAACTTGCGATATACTAGCCTTCTATTGATGCCAAAACTGATCCGAATAATGTCCTGGTTATTACCCAGTCTATTGTATACTACTAACGCTAAAGTGGACGCGAATCGCAACAGTGATGGCACTGGAACCTCATTGACAACACTAATTCGTAACGCGCACAAACAACAAATGAAATGCACATTCTTTGCTAGGAAAAGCTTGGTCTTGGAGTGAAATACCAAGGTTTCCTACGAAAAGAATGGTTTTGGCGTGGCGTGGAAAACTAACTTTGTCCTAGGAAACACATGGTTTTGGGAGGGCAAACCAATTTTTTACTATGTAAAACAAAAAACAAAGAAAACATTTGTTGGGAAACTACGCGGCCGGACTCCAAAAGCATGGTTTTTTGGTTTTCCAGGGAACAGATGGTTTTGGGTGGAAAAACAAAAGTTTCTTAGGGGAAAGATGGTTTTGGGCAAGAAAACCAACTTTTCCCAGGAAGAACAAAATTTTGGCATGACACACCAACTTTTTCCTAGGAAAAAGATGCTTTCGGGCAGACAAACCAATCTTTTTCTTAGGAAACAGATGGTTTTGGGCAGGAAAGCAAATTTGTTCCTAAGGGAAAACCAAGACAACAATATTTTTGTATTTTTTGGTTTTCCCTACGAAAAGTCAGGTTTAGAATGGGCGGGCACAGTGTTGCCGTTGACTACGTGCTCACATCGAACCTGAATGAGTTGACTGACAGAAATGTGAGATTGATTTCGGCAGTCCTTGAAAGATACAGGATCCGGACCTCACGTCGAGCATGAATGAGTTGACTGACACGTTCTCTTGAAATTTGAGTTTGTTTTCGGCAGTCTTTGAGATATACAGAATCCCGACCTGTCCGAAAAGCTGGTTTGACACGGTATTTGCGATACAAAACGAGGGTCGGTAGTTCATGGGGGGTGACCATGTATATATACATAATTATATATATATATATATATATATATATACATATCATTGTAAACATACATCCGGGGCTCCTTGATCGCCCCCGTGCGGAAGCCGAAAGCTTTCTCGGAGCCAGGCAGAGGGAATTTCTTCGCAGCTTGGATGACTCCAGCATCCTGGCCTTACTCCTCCCACATCTTCGCACCAGGCTGGAGTGGAGCCTTGATGATTCGTCGTTGCATTCTGGGGGCTGTCATTGCTACCTGGAACATATCTCGGCGACCATGGCACGCTTTGCGAGAGACGGGAGTAAGCTGTGCACGTTCCTGCATGCTTTGGGACCAATGCAGTGTCTGTGACAGTGTGATTTCACTGGACGACCGTTCTGACGGCACAGGGCCCGCGAGGCGACACTTCCAGAGACAGAAGCCAGAGAGGTCCTGTCTCTCCTCGAGCAGCTCGGCAATTTCGTGGCAGTGGGACGTAACGTAATACGGACAATCCGTGTCAAATGATCGTTGCACCGCGGAAGTTGGCCCAGCCACTGAGCCTGGTGTCCAGCAGCTGCTGCACTCGTGGATTTCATCACCTCCTAGCTACGCAATTCGTCTCCAGCGGCCCGCTCCTGTGCCCCCAGAGAAACCGCCCCTTTCACAGGCGCAAGCTGGCTACTTTGGCTCCAGCCACGGCTCCGGCCGCTCCCATGTGGAAGCCTGTCTTTGATCGTTTGATCTCTTTTACCTTCGGGGTTCGGGTGGTCAACAGCCGACATCTACTGGTGATAGGCTTGTTTGGTCAAGGTGGGCTGTGCAGTCTTGAGTTGCCCTTGAACGCCGCTTGTGCTTGTTGCAACCTTCGTGTCGTCCTAGGCAGCTGTCAAGGCTCAACAAGGTCTTGAAGAAGCTGACTTTTATTCGGCTCCTTGGCTCTAGCCAAGTGCTCCAGACTCCGAGGCTCTGGGGCCTGATCTTTTTTGGTCTTTTCCGTCTTGTTGGCGCTCGAGGTTGATGCGCCTGGCCGCGTGCCATGAGCTCCCCGACGTCGACGAGGCCCTGGTCCGACTCCAGGAGGCGTCGGCCGTCTCAAAAAGAGCTCCTTGTTTTTTGGGGCCCCCGAGGCCCCTCTTGGCTCATGTCTCTTTGGCTCTTGCAGGCCTACAGCATCAACCTTGCTTAGAGGACTCGGCGGGGGGGGGGGAGGCTTCTTCTCCCGCACCTTCTTGTTTGCGCATATCGTGGCAGGAGATTTGGAGACCACGTCCAGATCCGAATCGAATGTCTCTCCTTCCCATCCCTGAAAAGTTCACGGCTTGGCACACGGCCTCAACCCCTCCCTGACCCAGCAAACTGCCTGACAGATGTTTTGATATGTTTTGGAAAAGCGAGGGCGGCCGTCAGTGCCGGCTGGCAGCGATGAGATTACCATAGTTTCGAGACGGGAATAACCTCGGAATGTACAAGTTCTTTGTGGCACCAGTGGCAGTTCGTGTTTTGCTAGCCTGCTAGTGATGCTAGTGCATAGTTCGTGTTTTAACTCTAGTCTGGGTTTGGACTTTGGAAGTGCTGCGTTGTCAATTCAGACCGCTGCTGCTGGTGAGATGCCACTGTGCACAGTCGTTGCTGCGCTGCATGGCACTTCAAATCATCACTCAACTGTGACTCCAGAAACCCATCTTCATCCACAGTGTTCAGTGAAACCTTCCGATTTGGGATTAGTGCCAGCGCCCGACACCCTCAATTTTGATGCTTAGACTATTGGCACAGCACGTGCTGCCATTTGCCTCAATTTGTCAGACGCAGCTTCAAGCCGTAGGCCCAGAACTACAAAGCGCGAAGTTAAGCAGTTCGAATTTTGTCTTCCGGCCAGCGTCTGGCTTGGGATTTGTACCCTACGCAAACCCTGGAAAGGCAGCGTTCCGCTGCAGACCCGGGGCTCCACACAGAGCCTCCTCCGTTGAACAGTGCAAGGTGCAGTATTTCAAGTCTTGTTGGAACCTTGCGAAACGGCCAGGATAACAACAAGTAATTTGGCTGGGGTCGCGACGTGTAGCTCTCTTACAGCATCGTCGTGCACCCATTCAGTCAGTCGTTGGATGAGGGTTTTCCAGCGGTAAGAACATTGGCGCAGGACTTCCGACAGAAGTGATGGGCATGTGCAGACTTTTTCGAAGCAGCAACGTTCATCGAGCCTTTTCAGCCTGCGCAAGGCCCGCCACGCACCTGTCGCTGTAATCTTGAAGCTCTGGTCTGAACTTTGCAAAATGGCACTGGGCAGACTTTTGGGCTTCTGGAAATAAAAGGGAGCGCTCTCTCAGAAGGACCGAGAGACTCTTTCTGTGCATCCGCTGAACTGCTGATTCGATGGATCCCGAGTGCAAGGCAGAGGATCGGAGTACTGTACGGATACGTCCCCTTCTGGTTTGAGCGTAGGTTGGATCCATCGGTAGTGGTAGTTCTGCGCCCGGGTTTGGATGGAGAGTGGGATGGATGCTCCCAAGTTAAAGCTCCTTTGGTTTAGCAGGAGCCGTAGGCCGTAGGAACACTGAGCACAGGTTTGCACCCTGAGGGCGCAGAAGAGCTGGCAATTATCCGTCATATACTCGTACCTATGTCTGGACATCTGTCTTCTTAGATCGTAATGTATAGGGTGCAAGACTTGTGCTGGAGTGCCTGCTGCAGAGTTGCAGACTGCTGCAGGTACGCCAAGCTGGTGTAGTGGGTGCCAAAGCGCCCGCTGGCCCATCAGTCCAAGCTGGCATAAAGTCAAAGTAGTTAGTGTGATTGCGAGCTGCAGTAAGTCTCAGACAGGACACACTTGCTGGTGACACCGCTGATTCTTTACTGCTGTGGGGCGTTGCAGTGGTACATGATGTGTGTGCGCTAGTTCTGTTCGTTTGACTCTACTGAGCTTCCCTTAGAGCATTTGGCCGCAGCTTGTAGAACAGAAGCTTGCTGAGTTGAAGATGTACAACACATGAGAACGCAGGTGCACGCATGGCTCTGCAACGCCAAGCCACTTACTGGGGTGAGACTGGAGTGGAGGGGAGGGGCTGGGAGATCCGAGACCAAACCGTGAGGCAGCTGAGGCAGGTGCCGTCGTGAACTGAATCTGATTGGAATGATTGGAATTTGGTGCTCGGACGCCGCAAGTCATACGACTTCGGACCCTCCTCCCCTTCGGCTTGCCCCGCACCAGAAACAGCCGTAACAGTGTAACTTGCTAACCTGGCGAGCTCCTGAGGGGAGACTCGATTGTTGGCGCCAGGGCATCGACAGGCTTTGTGGTGAGTGCAGTCCTGGAAAGCTTGCAGTTCTGCACATGCAAGGCGGACGTAGAGCATGCTTGTCATGGGTGACCTGCCTTGGTAGCCCGTGCAGGTGTAGACAAGTTGTGTAGTCTTGGCCTGCACACCGCAGCATCCTATCAGCCTTGTGATAACTTGTATCCGAACTAAGGGCTCGATTGCAGAGACCAGCTGCGTCTTACGCTTGCTGCCAGCATTACCAAGCCTGTGATATCTATCCGGCTGTTTAAGCCATGATGCACTGACCCACTGTCGATGCAGAGTTTCAGGAGCGTGGTGCTGCGGTGCCTGCTCACTGTTTATAGCTAGCTGTCTCAGAGCGTAGATTGAAGTACTTGCTCTGCTCTGACAGCATGATGCGGGAGACTGCGACCATCTGCAGCTCCAAATCGTCCGAAGATCATCTTCTTGAGAAGCGTTTCGACGTGCAGACCGGCTGCAGACTCGTTCGCCAAGCGGCTGCGTCGGCTTGGCTTTTTGTTGTATCGTCCAGCCCTTGCACGGGGTACAGGGTCCACATGAAATGGCACGATCCACGGTATGGCTCCCTGCCACAGCTGCCCACAACCCAACCGGTCACCATCCAAAGCTGAAAAGTGAAAAGGAAGAGAGGCCATTCACCGTGCCGGGGCTTGGAGAGATGTCAGATGCAGTGCTGCGCACCTTTGAGGGACCTACAGTCCAAGCCCTCACCGCTGGACCTGCGAAAGCATGGTAGAAGTTGAGAATACACCGCCGAATTTAGGCCCTACATGTAGGCTGTGGTGTACGGCGCCGCATATCCGGATGTTTGCTTGCTACAATAAAGTAAAGACGTGCATGTTTAGGCAGTGCCGAGGTTGGCAGACTGTGCTAGCACTAGCTTCCTTGCAAGACTCTGAGAAGTCGCTGGGTTTCCTTTGACCTGTCGTAGTTGCGCTTGCGATGGCTCGTTTACGATTGAAGTTTAGCAGGTCCAGGTCGCGGAGACCCAAAGCTTCGGGAGATGAAGGTTCCTAAGCTCATGGGTTCTCACACCTCCTGTCGGGAGGTGTGTGAACCCTCACCTTTCCAGGTCTGCTTAGTGGATTCAGGCTTCTGCTGCATGTGGATGAAAGGTATTGTGCAGTACAGACTAGACTAGTGACTAGAGATCATGGAGTAGCTGGGTCACGACTTGATCCTAACTCTGCCCGGGATGGACTGCAAGAGTTGAGCTTTTAGACCAGCTGAAGCCTCGCGTGCATGATGCCTGTGAGATACCTTATGGCCTGCCCTGTTTCGAAGGGCATGGTGTGGAACACCTGAGAGGTGTTCCTGGAGACCCTGATCCCAACTCGCATTAGCGGGCAAGAGCGTCGTCTGTCAGGGACACTCTCCTGCTTGCCGCCAACGCAAGGCGGTGGGCAGGGGAGACTTCTGGCTGAAGGCCGGCATGTCCTGGTGATCGAAATCCAGATTGCAGCTTGGGTTCAACAAAAATCTTGGCCAAGCTGCAAGCCGGTCATCGTGAGCACGGGCTCGTGCCTCGACGGCAGATGTTCTTCACTCGGGACAGACAGGCAGTTCGGTAATCGATGCTTAAGAGGAGCTGAGGTAGTGAAGTATTTGTTTCGTTCGTGATCCACTTCGTGTCCAGGGCAAGGGCTTTGAAGGGAGCAGATGTCCGGAGGAGGCCTGCGTGGACCTGTGAAACCTAGACTTCGAAGGCCGAGGTACAAGCTGAGACGGGTTTCGGATGGTTTCGGTAATCTTGGTGCTGCCTGTTTGCCATGGGGCCGTCTGTCACTTCGTGGCACGCTGCCAACGCTGACACGCAAGCAGGCACCATGCAGCGGTAGCCGGTAGAGCAGAAGAGCAATGTTCGTTCGGAGTTGTAGCTTGGCATTGAGGCTCAGCTCTGCTGGTGCGTGCCCTTAATGCTGTCGGCCGCCTGACCATAACGGCTCCTCTTCTTGTTCCGTCATGCACTCACAGGCAGCATGTCGCTCGCTTGCGCCCTGGTGGAGCATGTTTTCATCAGACATGGGTTCACAGCATCGATCGAACACACCAGTGCGGTACATGTAGTGCATTCAGAATTTTCAACTCGCTACCTTAGATCTAGCCCAGCCCAGAGTCATACTTCAATACGGCTATGGGAAACCCATGGCTGACGACCGAGCCTGCCCAGATGCAGATGCAGAAACATCAGCACTGTCTGACCGCCCTAATGGTCGTTTGCAGTTGAGCCAGGGCTGCTTGCGTGGCTGGGCTTGCCTCCTGCAGCTCCACGTGTGTGACGTGTGTGCATGCAGGAGGCGCTCTGGAGATTGGGATAGTCAGTGGCAGTTCCTTTGGTGTAAGAGTCTAAGGGTTGATGCAATCACGCGGATGTTTCTTCGCCACACTCTTTCCCATGTGGAGTTTTGGATTCATGCTGGGGTGTTGCTCGATCGCTGAATCTACCACTCTCTTGATTCTTCGTTCAAACAGACCAGATTTGCTTGTGAACGGAATTTGCTAGGCAATCACGAGTGCTATAACAGGCACTTCAGAGAACATCCGACCACTCTCTGGGGCTGCACCTGCTCCCTGCGTCCTGGCTCGATCCTGTAAAAAGATGTGTATCATATGGCTGGGAGCATTGCTGCGCCAGTGTCGATAAATCTCCTCGGGACATAGACATAGCCTCTGTATTTCATACTTGAACCCATATGACACTCGGCAATAGGGCCCGGGACACCACGTCACGGAGCCTTGGTTTTTGTGCAGCTGCACCAGCCTCGCCTTGCTGCCGTCTTTTTCAGCGCTCGTTTAGCTTTGCAGCAGAGAGACAGATGGCGCTTGCGAGTGGCTTCAAAAGGCTGGCTCAGGATTCTGCTACATTTCGGGATGCTCAATACCGGCCATGAGGGTTGTCTTTGGAGTGCTCCAAAGGCAAGGCGCTGGTATTGTGGGACTTCGCGTCCAGACAATGCAGCCCTGTCGCAGCGCAGTCAAAGTGCCATTTTGCGTTGACGCTGACAGATTGGCGATACGCTGTCCGCCGTCCTCGCACGGTATGCGATCTTCGGCACGGAGTCCGACGAGGACCTTGGGCTCTTACGGTCTTACGGTTGTGCACAGAAATCAGCATCCCTGGAGCAACCAAGTTTCGGAATCACTCCAAGACTCTAGAAGGACTCACCAAGAGTGCGACTGCAGCTGCGGCCGGGAAATGTCTGCACCTCGAAAAGGCTTTCGGCGCCCAGATTGGATTGCCTTTTAGGGTTTAGAGTTAAAAAGTCCGGTCCGGGTTGGGTGAAGAGAGTTCGAGGTTTGGGGTAAAAAGGTCCGATGCGGCTTGAGGGTTTGGAATTTTGGGTTTAAGGTTTGTTTTGAATTTATGGTTTTGGGCAGATCTGGGTTTAGGGTTTGGGGTTGAGATCGTCCGAGTTGGGCGAAGTCGGTCCGGGCTTTGCATGACTCCGCCCCAAGCCCCAACAAAGCTTTAAAGTCGTAACCTCTGCAAAACCGAACCAAATCTCTTTCAAAAACCCCAGACGGGCAACCAGGTTCGGGGGCAGCATGGCTTTAAAGGACAGCTCCCGGACTACGCTTCTTTTTCAGCGCGAGCTTATCTGTTTATTCACTGTTTATGAATTTCCCAGTTGTCTAAGAAAAAGTTTAGGGAAAGTCAGACATGGGCATGTGGGCACTGTAGCGGCGAGAGGGCCCGAAGAGCCCAAGGCAAGTTCGGATCATGATCTCGGCTGGAGCAAGGGCCCGGTATGATGAGGATGCAGTAAGCGAGGAGAATGCAGTCGAAGTATAAAGCTGATCCCTGTTTGGCTAAGGTCCTCTACGACCCGACTTCAGAAGCGATGGCTTTTGCAGACTTCTCGTGGCCAGGTGCCTTTCATGACGCATGACCCTCGTGGCTTCAGCTTCGACGACTAAACCCGTCTTAACGTGCCTCGTGCTCGTCCTTGAATGTATCGGAAAACGAACTGGTCCTGTGTCGGCGCAACGCTGGTCCCTTAATGAAGCGTGGCACATGAGATTTCGACAGGGTGTATTGCAAGAAATGGTACCGGTATCCGAGAGCAAACCTTTGGTGTGATGTAGCAGAAGAACGAGGCTCGGCTCGGCAATCGAGAGGAGGGCCCTTCAAAAGAATGATGAAAATGCCTCCCAAACCAGGTCAAGAAGCGTGGCCCTGTTGTCTGACCGCCAGGGGATGCCAATGCAGTTACCGCTTTGGACCGTCTCTACGACACGGTGAAGTCGTGCGTGGCCCAGCATTTTGTGGCCTGAAGTCCATAGTCCTCCAAAGCGAGAGTTGAGCATGGATGAGGGAGCTGACGCTGCTTTGTTGGTTCTTGTCATCTCTTGTCGCAGTTTTCATGCTGTCGGCAAGCAGACAAGTCCGATTAGCCTTTTCGAGAAGACATCGAGGCTCTGGGGTGGGACCACAAATTGAAGAAATGCTTTAGTGTGCAAAATGTCTTGTAGGGTGTAACAACAGTCAGACACAGATTGACTTATGGGGTCGGAAGCTGTGGTGCGGATCGGTAAGATGCTGAGCTTAGTTGTATATATATATATATATATATTATATATATATATATATATATATACACATATATAATGTATATGGGATGTTTCCAGGATGGGGGTTCCTTCGGATCCTCGGGGAAACTTAGGGAGTACGAAACAGCACCCTTTCCCTTAAAGATTCCATATGTCTGGCTACAGATTCACCACCACTACGCCAAGGCCTAATCCAAACCCCTAAGCCAGCCATCAAAACCCCAAGGATTGCAGGTCCGATGGCTGCCGAGGCAAAGTCTTGCATGAAGAGGGCAGTGCAGAGCTGATACAGAACAGTTTGCACGGTGGCTAGCTATAGTCAGCTTAAGCCAAGTGTCCTGAAGCTAGAACTATGAGTTGATAGTCTACAACATGATACACTGCACACCTGCGAGGGCTTGCGCTTCAAGTTGACTTTGTCCATGTGTTGACTGAATAGGCCAGAAGGAAGCTATTGAAGTGCTGCCAGCGGTGGTTGCAGGCTTTTCAGGAAGGCTACCAGAGCGCACAGAGGACAGTTGGGTGCACATTTCAAAGTTCAAAGATGGAGGTTGCGTGGTATTCCAGTAGGGCTCAATAGGAGGAGATGCAGAAGCCGGAGTTGAAGTGCAAACATGGCTTCTGTTCGCGAGTCTGTAGCTGAAAGCTCGCTGACTTTGTGCAATTTCGTAGGAAGTATGCTTGCTCTTCCGGCGAGGAGTCGTCACAGACCTTCCGTTGCGGACATCTTCCAGCATTCTCGGACATGTATTCGGGTTCCAGCATGCGTCCACTGCTCTGGGTCCACAGTCCATTCCACAGCCGACAACCGTTTCCGACGCTGCAGATACCCATCTGCGTTCTGTCAAGCGGCGGATCCCGTGAGCGAGGCCTGGGCTAGCTACCTACCTCCGGTGCTCTATGACTCTATGTGTCTGAAGTATACGTAGTATACGTGTCATGTCCAGCAAGAGCTGTAGCAGTTTGCCAGGATCAATCTCTATAATTCAACGCCCGAGCTGAAATCTGCCTTGACATCCGTCGCAAGGTAGAGGCGGCCTCTTCTGGCTCAGAGTTCCGCTCTTAAGAGCGAGTGGCCTGCGATGTCTTGTGGAGATGCCGCGGTGCTGAAGTTCAACAGGCTACTGGCTAAAGGCCTGCATCTTGTGCATCTTGCCATCGCGGAGGTCCGAGGAGGAGCAGCGTGAGCAGAAGGCATCGGAACAGTGCAGCCGGAGTCTTACAAGCCCGGGGCCGGGGCCCCTCTGCTCAGCGTGTGAAGGGATGCTCCTGCCATGGAACAAAATCGACCCACACAGAAAGGTGCAGACCACAGTGGTCTCGATTACAAGTGCGAAGGAAGCTGAAGCAACCCACGTCATCCACTTCTTCTTCCAGCCCATGGGGGAGCAAGGGTTGACTTGGCTTTTCGATAGTTGCCACAGTGTTGCCACGTTTGCCGCTTCTGGCAGCCTGCTGTCGAGGCCTCATGTAATGGGCCTTATCCGCAACAAGGCCGGCCGAGCGTTCGCTTCGGTTCTCGTTGCGTTGTTTGCCGTCCCTTGTAATCGAATACGGCTAGTCTTCTCAGCTGAGCTTCAGAATGCCAGAGCGAGTGTATGGGCGAAGCACCCTGGGAGAGGGAGGATGCAGTTCAGAAAGCATCGTTGCACATGGCTCATGGATTTGGGACTCGGATCCTGGTAAAGTCTGCGAAGTGCTGCCTTGCAGGCCGGTCGGCTCTTGCTGTCGTCCAGTGAGCTGCAAAGCAGTGGCGAGACGATACCTGAATTCGTTTTACATCTGTCAGCGCATTGAGCTGTGACATCCTCACCTTCCCGAAACTTACAGTAGGCGACAGGTATGTCAAGGTGTGCATCGGTGTATCGGAACCTTGTGCTGTGACAGAGCTTCCTTTGTACCAAAGGCGCAGCCTCGGCGCCAAGTGCTCACAGTTTAGCAAAAGAAGGACAAATAGCAGAATGCGAAAGCCTCGGAAGCATGCTTCGGTGCTAAGCCTGGTAAGTGAGGGATTTGCAATGGAGACCTGGGTCAGCGGAGGCCGCGCGCAGAACTTGGCACATCACTCACGGCTCTACCGGCAAGAGTCTGTCCCTGAATGCTTACCGCCATTTTCTCGATGGAATCCTTTGCTTTTCATTCTCGGCAGAGCAGGAGTTCGTGGAAATTCATTTGCATTTGATGGGGCATCCCAGCCAAGATGCTGTCGCTTTGCCATGCAGGTGAGGGTCAACTGCAACCTACCGGCAGGTTTATGCTCAGTGACCTGCTTCACCATGTTCCCTCGACCATCCCCTCAGGGTGATTTTTTGCTGTGCCATGTCTGTTGCGCAACGTGAGGGTGCTAGGGATCCGGAAGAACCTGCATCTTCATTACACAGCTACGAGCTTGATACTGGAACGGCTATCCTCGAAAACCAGGGGTGAGACTACTTGAGCCGTCACTCAGCATCATGGCGTCAGCTGCCCTGTGCTCGAATTATATGCCTTTCGTCGCGTCCTGCAAGCAACCCGAGTCCATAATCTGTGGACTTCTCTCAGTCCTTAAAGCTCGTGGGAACCGGCCAGCCTCAGAAGGTTTCTGATGTCTTTGTTGGCTGATTGGCGGATGACTGTAGTTTACACGCTACAAAGTTTACACAGGTTACATGCTACTTGATTCGCAAGGTGAAGCTTTGATGGTTGGACAGACAGGCTCAGATAGACTCCTTCATCAGAGCATGGAAAAGCAGCACAAGACAGCGGGGAGCTTATCTGAATGAGGTTGGCTGTACTCACATGCTGCAGCTGACTGGGTAAGTAATCCACCGCCCACAGTGGATTTCTCCATTTCGTTTTGTTTGTGCGAAGGCTTGCCGTGCTTGGAGAAATCCTGTGCAGAGAAGACACGGTTGACCTGCAACCGTTGTAGGAACCTTTGTTCGCGTAGGTTGTCAACGGCAGTATCACAAGTTCAGCGACATCCACTGCTTAAGGACGGTGTAAGCTTCTTTGTTCACAATCAGGCATCCTGTAGTAGACGTTGCTAGCCGCTCCTCGAAGTATCAGAGCTGCCTTTCTGGCAGGGGTTTCGGATCAAACTCGAAGAGTTGCGGTTGAGGGTTCAGCAAGATTCGCAAGCGACTGATCTGAAAGCCCTGTTGGTGCTCAGGCTCTGCAGATACCCGACCGATCCATGTTTGAAACTTCGCTTTGAACGAAGTATACCCCCGACTGACCGAGCTAACTGGATCCAGGCACGTAGCATTCAGAAGTTCATCAAAGAGCTAGGGCCTCTTGGCTATGTTGACCTTGCAGAGGCAGTTCAAGCAATTCTAGCGATTGCAATCGCCAAACCAAAAGGCCAGTTGAGGCAGCGACGTGCGGTTTTGTTGTGTTGTAGCATTGGAGCATTCTGACAACCCACGGTTAGCTTAGAGGTTTCGGCGACCTGCGAAGGGCTCTCACATGCTGTTACATGCTGGATAGTTGGGAAGTCGCATGTGAGCCGGGCCTACACTGGCAAATCCGATAAACACAGTCGTGAAACTTCAGCAGAATGTCTGGCATTTGCGAGGAGTCCAGATTATGCTCGGACTGAACAGTGCTGCCATCTATCGCAAGATGTGATGGGGTGGTTAACGCCTAGCAGCCCGTCAGGTATGGACCCTGGAGAGTTTCGAAGTACGTACTGTAGCGCAGACGTTTGTCCAGATGTTCTTGCCCTGCATTCAGTTTCCACTGCCGACGGACAGCTCCAAAGTACAAATTTTCTTGGTCACAATTTGAAGCTTTCTGCTTCCACAGCTCGGCGTCATCCCCGAAGCTTCAGAACGTGCAGAGGCACCACGCGAAGTGAGTGCAGTACCGTCAACCAAGGGTTGCGTGGAAGTCAGTTTAGGGTACATTGTCCTGCCTTTGGATCGTGCGCAAGCGTACCACGTACACTGATGTACCACGTAGACGACTGTAGCTGTTATGGCTCAGAACGGGATGCTCGTGGAGTTTCATGCAGTGCAGATCGAGTTTCATGCAGTGCAGATCTAAGAGTGAACAGCAACTAAGACAAAATGATACAATACAATATGCAAATTTCGTCTCCAGCATGACATCTGAAGGGTAGGCCTCACAGCAGCTCGTGAGATGCTACTACCGAGGCCGCAGGCCATTGATCAGACTGGTTCAGAGTGTTACATTGATCATAACAGCACCACGTTGGGAGAAGCTATGGCTTGGGATAACTACAGAGGAGGCGGCAACAGACAGGCGGGGCACATCTTAGAAGGTTTTTAGACCGGCCTGGGATCCCAGAAGTCTGAGCACGGAAGTTCTAAGCCGATTTGACGGAGTGGAGAACCCCCAACGGGCTTCGTTATCTACGTCCGCCCAGGAGCGCTGCAACCGTTAGAGATTGATCTGTTTGACGAAATGAGCAAAGATTGTCTGTTCTGGATACGGCATTCAACAGCCAGGAGAATACAGGAGAATAAAGAAAGACGACGTGATACCGCCCACCAGCAATCTCGCCGGTCCCAGCATGTTGTTTTTGCAGGGTGTGTCTTGCCCGGGGCCCGCATCCATGCATCGAGTATCAATTTGGTGGGCTGCAGCCTAATAATTGAGAATGTCACCAACACATTCCAAAATATGGTTTGCGGCCCAGCATCGCCCGACGGCATGTCGGACACGCCATGCTGAGAGCACACATGCGCTGCGCCGTGTGGTGGACGCCAGAACTCGAAGCATGTCGCAGCTGCGTGGCGCCAAAACGAAGCCAGTGGAGTTTTGGGAATACTTGGGACAACCCTCGACACATTTCAGCATGTATGTTGCATACGTGTCTAGCATGTCTATACCTCATCTGCAGTGCAAGTACATGCACGCTAAGAGGCACTACGCGACATTGCGTACGCGCAGAACAATCGAACTCCCACATCAAGTTGCCGCATGCTGCGCAAATCTCTCGAGTAAGGATCCTCGTTTAAAAGCAGCACGGTTATGCTTTTAGCCGGATAGGCCTCAATCTTGCGCTCTTCGAAGCTCCAAGCCTTGAATATCTTCGCAATCATCCACCACTGACTTATGATTTAGAGGGACCCCCTGAGGGGGAATGGCAAATGGCGTTTGCTAGCAAAGGTTTCCAAGGATAGTTGGTTTGGATTCAACCTTTCAACTTTGTTTACCCCGGCGTAAACTGACATGGCCTCACCAGCACTCATTGGCACTCACTAGCGCTCAGTAGCGCTCATTAGCGCTCACTAGCGCTCAGCAGTACAAGCTTCGCAGAGCGCTGCTCAACGGTACTAGTGCTCACGAGCGCTCAAAACCAACGTCGTGCCTCGGTGTGCTATGTAGTTCTTACTAGGCCTTAGCAAGGCGATTCAAGCCTCGCGAACAAACCAAACTACTAAGCCTTGCTAGGCGCTACTAAGGCTTGCCAGCTCTTGCCAATGCTTGGCAGGCCTTGCTATCCAACCATCATCAACCATCAGTTTCTGCTGGCAAACTCTATTTGCCATCCCCCCTTAGGGGGGTCCCTCTAAATCACACTTCAACCACCGTTGTGCCATCGTTCTAGGACAACCGTTGGGGCCAAGAGTCCTGGCAAGAGGTGGGGTTGGGTTCACGGTTTGGGTGCCTTTGTTTTGAAAAGGGTCTTGTTGAGCGGAATTTCGGTGGCGAGATGGTGAGATTCAGTAAGCAGCCTTGCACGCTGGTGTTTGAGCCCGGTTGACGTCTTGGTACTACGTGGCCAACTGCATAAACGTAGAGGTTCGAAAGTGACAGTTTTCGAACTTGCGGGAAGGATTCTGGAACTGGCTGGGGCCAAGAATCTTGGCAGCAGGCGGGACGCGGGTTCTAAAGAGCAGTGTCTCGCGAAAGTGGGGTGATGCTCGGTACCACCCTGCATCAAAGCAAATCGTTGCCGTTCCTGGTGTGGAAGCTCTTGATACCAGATTGTTGATCCCTTCATTCTGGGTCGAAGTCGCGCCGTCTCACCGCAGGACTCTCGAGGGTCTGGGTGGCAAGACAGCCGCCAGGAGGTGGGCCCGAGACTCCGAGCGTGTGGAGTCAGTGGGTAGGATCGGAACTGCCGCACGAGGAGCCTCCCTCTGACCCGTGGGCCAGCTACCTGGCCAACAAGGGCAAGGCAGAGACTTGCGGAAATTTGCGTGTGCTCATAAATTCAGAAAGGGTAGATCGGAGCTCCCCTTTGTGATGGCTTTGGCATGCGATGCACTTTGTCTGCACTCTGAGATGAAGAAAAGTGTCGTTGGATTTCAAGCCACAGGGACGACTTAATTTGTGAGGCAGTCTTGCAAGAGACCTGATTTTGTGATCCAGGCAGAGGAGGCAGACTCATGGAGCTCGCAGGGCAACCACAGAAGTGGCCACCGACAGGCACCGTCGGGTTTCTGTGCTTATGCTGTTGTGATATGAGACGACTTTTTTTTTGAGGCAGTTGTGAAAGAGACCTAAGCTGGTGACTCCAGGAGGCAGACCAGTGGAGCTCGCAGGGCAACCACAGGGGTGGCCACCGACAGGCACCGTCCGTTTTCTGCGCTTATGCTATTGTGACATTTTTAATGCATTGTGGCTTCGTGCAGAACCGTCAGCTGTTTCACGCCAGACACTCACCATGAAGGGATCGTCCTCATGCCACAGTTACTCATGCACCATATGCATGTGTGCGTGCATGCGTGCGGGCGTGTGTGTGTGTGTGTGTGTGTGTGTGTGTGTGTGTGTGTGTGTGTGTGTGTGTGTGTGTCTGTGTGTGTGTGTGTGTGTCTGTGCGTCGTGTGTGTGTGTGTGTGCATCGAAGCCGACAGGAGGACGATCGTTGGGGCAGCAGCCGGGGACAGGAGCTTCTGCTTTGTGTGTGATGTGCTTCTGTACCTCGCATAGTTTGAGTGGTTTGCAGGGGTAGTCACTGGCCGCGCCTTCTCAAGAGCAGGCAACCGCAGCGCACAGCAGCCACCCGGAAATACCGTGTGACCGTGCGTCCCCAGCGTGCAAACCTTAAGGCTGGCTGCAGGGCATGTAGGCCTTTGGGCAGCAGACTCGATCGTTCGAGGCATTGAAGCATCCTGCATGCAGGTTCATATAAGCATATCCATGCGGAACTTATCGCGTCCTGCGAAACGACAGGAGGATCACCATGGCAGTTACAACGACCGTGGTGGTAGACAGGCCTGGTTTCCCTGCAATCCCTGTATACCCAGTGCCATGGGGATCATGTTTTTGCGTTGCGTCTTTTGAAGCTTTTGCTGCAGCTTGCGCATGGGCTTCTAAGTGTTTGTTCGACTGGTCGATTTTGGAGTCGTTTTTGAAAAACGACACCACAACACCGCAACTGTCCCTACTGTGCTGAAGCCAGCATTCATCATGCTATGATTTTGACTGACTTCCTGCCACCAATCACACATCACCGGCTGCCTCACATCAGGACAGCTGGGGAGGTTCTCGTGGACGACGGTCACACAACGAGGTTCTTTCAGACTGAGTTAAGGAGCATCGCTCGATACATGTTGACTCAGAGAGCCTGTGCCCAGGACAGCTGGCAGGACTCGGCCCCGTTTGCACAAATATTCCGTTGTGTGCTCTTGCTGCCTCTGCTGTTCTGCTATGGCAGCTGCAAAAGTACGGTGACAACGACGATCGTGACGACGACCACTTCCTCCTACGGCCTGCTGGTACTGGTGCTACTGCTCCTGCTACTGCTCCGCCTCCTACTACTACTACTACTACTGCTGCCACTGCTGCCACTGCCACTGCCACTGCCGCCACTGCCGCCACTGCCGCCACTGCCGCCACTGCCGCCACTGCCGCCACTGCCGCCACTGCCGCCACTGCCGCCACTGCCGCCACTGCCGCCACTGCCGCCACTGCCGCCACTGCCGCCACTGCCGCCACTGCCGCCACTGCCGCCACTGCTGCTGCCGCTGCCACTGCCACTGCCACTGCCACTGCTACTGCTGCTACTAGTACTACCTACTGCTACTAAAGTACAAACGCAGAACCAGCAAGATCAGTACGGTAGAGCGACAGCAGCAATGGCAGCACCATGGCTGGTGGGTTCAGCAGCAATAATAGTACTGTACCAGGAGTCGCGAGCAACAGCAACACCAATAGCAGTGGCAACACTTGCAGAAGCGGCAGGAAGAGCACCAGCAGCAGCAACCGGAGCTCAAGGAATGGCAGTACTGGCATGGTCATTACGTTGACGGTAGCACGAACGACAGTAACATGGTCACAGGAGACGCACAACATCCGCGGTACGAAAGACTGAAGATACATCCGTTCAGAATGCCATGAGTCGCAATAGTCTGTAGCCGTTTTGACAGTTATAGGAATGGCAATGCAGTGACGCCCAAGCTCTGGCTACCACCTCAGGGTTCAGCTGCTCTGCTCTGTCATCTTGATCCTCCAGCAATGCAGGACGACTCCTGGAACCATCGCCAGCAGGACAAACAAGCATCGCACTATCTTGGTTCATCTGTGAGTGCGTGGGTTCGCGCAATAGATGCGTAAAGGCGTATCTGTAGTATGGTACGAAGGCGCAGCATGCACATCTGTGCGTGAGTGAGTGGCTGTGTGTGTGTGTGTGCGTGTGTGTTTGTTTGGATGTTTGCGCGCTTGCATGTTCGTGTATGGCTGTTTGTGTTTATGCCATTATGCTTGTAACTTATGCATGTATGCATGTATACAGCATGCAAGTATGCATGAGTGCTTGCTGTCTGCCTGTTCGTCGCGCCGTGCACGGGGTGTACGCCGCAGTTCACATCCTCGAGCCTGCGTATGTGTGCTCTTGCGAAGAGCATGTCGTTTTCCAAATATGGCTTCCGCGCCCTTGCCTGGTTGGTGGTGAGCTGCGTCGTGGGCGGCGCTGCGCGATCTTTGGATGCGGAATACAACATGTGTCCCGTTTAAGTATGCAGAAGTCTACACATGGCCTATCTTCATGTCTATGTTCGAAATAGACAGATAGGCGGTATTTACAGGCATATGTATACATATATTGTGTACTATGTACACACATATGTATATATGTATTTGCAGGTCATGCATATACACATTCATATGAAGAGATAGTTGTGTGTGTATACGCATAAAATTGTCTTCGTACATGTATGTCTTTTTCGCTACAGAGCTGAGAGATACGTGGATATCGTGCTTTCAATTCGAAATAGGGTGGTATGGACGAGCAGATACATGTCCCAGGGAACTGCAGATAAAGGACATGTTTGTCACACTATGTTCTTTGAGATTGTGAATTGTGAAGGTGTGCATTATCAGCATGAGGGGCTGCTCGCGCTCTTCGTTGTGTTCCAGTCTATGTTGCCTGGTGATCTGAACTGCATTGCCAGGATAGTGCCTGGAATCATGGGCAGCGCCAGGACAGACAATGCAATTGTCAACGTTTGATCATTCCAAAGGGCAATTTTACAGGGTCTCCACTGGCTGAGTCCTTCCTTTAGTCATGGCAAAGCATTACTATAGTACTTGATTCGATCATTCTCAGCCTTCGTCCTCACAGAATTATGTCGGATGATATTGTTTCCGTGTTTAAGATCTGCTGACTCTATAGACGTACACATCGCTATGGTGTTGTCCTCTGCAATAGACTGGGCCCGTTTCCAGGATGACCGCTCGCGACAGAGCCGGGGCCAGGACTGCTACGAGCATCACCAGCTGTTGCGATGTCGCTAGATGTCTGGTGCGCAGGACAGCTGGCAACAGTCTAGCAAGTGGGACGGCGACTCCCAGGACATTGTGAATGTTTGTTGCCGTT